TCGCTTAAATTATTCACTTTAACCGGCTTTTTGATTATTATTAGTATTGACCGGTTAGTATTAATGCTAATCGACTATTCATATTGATCCCAACATGCATATGTTATGATATTTTTTATTTATTGAAACGTATACTATGTGTTAAAATTAAATATGTGTCAAGCATATTCGGGTTTTTATTTTTAAATGTTCTATGTCAAAAATAAATGTGTATGAAACACATGTATTTTTATTGTTGGTTGGTGTCGTGTCATGGACAGGAAATAATTTTCAATGTGATCAAAGGTTCTATATACAACATCTGCAATTTGAAGGCAATTTCCTTCATATAAGTCCGCTCACGGATTGTCACTTCTTTGCTGTAATTGCGCCAGTAAATCTGGTAGGTTTGATTTCATTTAACAAAATAAAATTTATTACGACCTTTAAAATTTCACGGTGGGTAATTTATTTTTACAGAATAGCAGTGCAAAATTATTTTTATTTTTTAAAATAACACAATACACTTCCGTGAAAACTTATTTAATTTCTTAAGCATCTCAGAAATTTTCAATTGTTTTAACATTTCAGTATTAACTATAGAGGTTAATCATTCTGTTTATGTATGCTACTTTTGCAGAAACTTTATTGAAGATGCTGGGTGTACTTTTCAGACCACATAATCCATGTTCCATATTTCCGTCTGTCAGAAAGCTAGTTACCCCCATAACAGTCCATTCCTTGTTTATTTCACACATTAATGGACCGCCACTGTCTCCCTGTAATATAAAACAGTTTATGAGTATTTTGTCTATGTATCTATGTTTTTTTCTTCTTTTTCATCTTATTTAATTATCAGAGTGAAATAGGTTAATCTATAAAAAAAAAGATTGCTCTCGAAGCAATATTATCTAAACTGGATCCACCAAAACCTCTAGAATAAGGTTAGCTAATTCGCTTAGTTATGTCACTTAGATTTGGTGAAAGAAAAGTAATTGAATGTAGAATTACTGTTGTAAAAGAGCATGCTAAGCGATATTTCCTAATAAATCAAAAATAGAATCACAAGGATCTCTGAAATATTCGTTGAATGATAATTGTTTAAAAAGCACAAAATTTGAAAACTCATTTCAAACCATCAAGAGTCATTTTACACAACCTTCTAACCATGTATCCATTAAAAATCGATTTCTTGGTCAATTTCGTAAAATTGATTTCTAAATTCCCTTTAATAACGGTAATAATTCTATTGATTGCCTTATTTTCAAAAAAAAATTAATAATTTAATATCTTTTATACATTTTTTTTCTTTACCGGCGTTGAGCAGCCGACTTAATTCTGAATTTACAACTATCTATGTTCAACACCTTAGCTTTGTAATTTTGAACCCAGCCCCAAAGACAATTAAACTCCCAAATCAAGCATTAGAACAGCTTTTGTGGAAAAGGTTTTGATCAAACTGACACGCATTTGCGTTACATGGAGAAGAAAACCTCTCGCAGATAGCTCGACGGCAGCGGGATTTTAACCCATGATCTGTCTAACACTGAGGGTATTTTATATTAGCTCTGTGGTTGATGTGATGTGAGCCAGGAGCAGAATTCGTATCAAACAGCCACTGCTGGGATTCAAATCTAAATTGTCTCTATGGTAGGCGAATCATATGGTTATGGGTTTCGTGTCAAACTTTCAAAGTAGAACATTTAAAACAAATGACTATTTTAGGAGCCTTTGTTACGTCTGTCACCAGCGTTTCAGAGTTGCACCTGCACCAGCAAGGAACTGTGTCGTAGAAATTTGCAATAAAGCAATCTTTTAACACCTATAAGGCCCTCCTTTTTATGGTCATAGAGAACCATTTATGAGCCGAAATCACAGGTTAAACGGTGCACATTCGTAAAATTAATTTCGACGCTATTCGTTTTCTATGCCTTGCTTTAAGTTTTATTGATTTCCAAAACGAGGGAAGATGTTGAAACGTTTCTGTTAAATAAAAAAACACTGCTTGTTTGTGAAAGTGCAAGATCTAAAACTCGACAAGTAACACTTCAGATCCAAAGTTTGTTTAGATCTGGAACAAATTTTTACGTTTGTCATTAAGCTCAGTTAGCAGCTAACTTCACTACATCGTGAAATGAAAAGATCACGCGTTGTCCATTTGTATGTCTGACCATGGTTTCGTTGTGGATTAAAATGCAGAAATCCTAAAATGGTTTTAATGAGTGGAAATCTAAGACTAAATAAATTAATAAATTATTAATAAAAACTTTGTCTGCCAAAAATTTAAATTTCTTTATCTGAAAAATTTCAAGCTGAAATAGCCCGGTTTTTAGGGCGTTGGGCCCATGTCCGAGAAGTCGTGATTTCGATCACGGCCAGCTGAAGACTCCCCATGTACAAAATGGTGAGCGATGCTGTTCTAATCTAAATGGTGAGTGAGTTATAAATCTGTTAGGGTGTCAAAATCCTCCAATTTCCCGTAACAAATCAATACCTCTTTGGATACTGGAATGGAGATTGATCGTGCTCTGGTTCTGGTCAAATGTTACAATCTGTGGATGGATGGTGTGTGAATGTGTCCTTCCTGTAAAATGGTTTGTGACGTATGTTTGTTTTCTCCGAATCATTATCAGCTCATGACTATGCTTATTTTTGCTTTCGCTCATTTTTCAAGTGTCACAACTTTCAAAACAGACCTTCTTAGTTGCAATGAAACGAATGTACTACTGGGATTAATCCTCAGCTGCTAATAATTATTTTAATAACTTTTTAGAACCTATTTCTGCATTGCTATTATTGAATTAAAATATTTTAACGAGTTTATATCCACCCATACTTACATGACAAACACCGTTTCCTGCTGCCACGCTTCCTGCGCATATCATTGTTTGCGGAATGAAATTTCTACCTACGAGTCTCCTGCACACAATGTCATTCTGTACTGGATGATAAGCTTGTTTCAGTACATCACTCCCACCAGTACCTATGGAAATAATAAGATCAAGAGATTGATTATTCTCTGTTTATTATTTAGTGATTATTTTATGCTTTATTTTAAGTATATTTATTTAAATATATAATAAAAATGGTAATTGTTTTACCATTTTCTTCATTCTCATTTAACGAAAAAATTACATAAAATTGCCTAAAATCGGTTAATGATTTATTAGTATTTACCTGTAAATATTTATTTCCTCTTATTTAATGATATTTACTTGTAATATTAATTTGTCATCTTTTTTCGATATCATTCTCTTATTGTGATTATCACTCAAAATTTAAGTATTTATTACCTAATTGCATCGAATAAAAGTCCTCACTCCTCAAAAAAAGTTCACAAAAAAGTAAATTCAGTCACTTAATCTGTGTGGCATTGCTTTAGTTGATTACCCCTATACTATATTGCCATGCAATTGCTAAAGCAACGCAAGTACTTCACGATTGATTCCGAGAAAAGTGGTTCAAAAACTTTTTTCCTTCAATTGCTAATGAAAGCTAAAATAGAATTTCAAAAAAACTGATAAAACAAAATTTATTTTTTAANAAATTTGTTATAGAATGTTTGTTATCTGTCCAATATTTAATCAGAATATCTTTAATGATGATAATGATATTACTTATCAACACACAAATTGCAATGTGTAATTGAATCATTTATTAAGCTTAATTTACCAAAATGCGTGCCATTGTTGTTCTGTTCTTAACGGATTTACATTTCTCATTTGATAAATGATGATAGATGCGATTTCATTAAAATGAAAACAGGTGAAAAGTCTGCTAGTTGTCACTATAATTATCAGACGAAAACACCATTTATCTTTTTTTCATTGTAGAGTTTTTTTTCCCATACGATTTAAAACTAACTCTTAATACTTTTCAAAAAGAATACAAGCAAATATTTTTTATTTTTTACTCACGCATTCTTCATTAAATTATTGAAATTTAAAATATACTGTATTTCAAGTGATTTTATGATGACCATCAATAATTCCATCTGTAGTCAAATAAGACAATCATTAAACATTGTGAAACAACATTGCGCAATCATTAAACATTGTGCAACATTTCAAGTTATTAATTCGTATTATAGGCGCAGACTTTGTTTCAAAGTTGGGGTGGGGGTGGGTAGAGAAGGATTATATTCATAAGCATTATAACTCTATACTGCTAAAAGAAAAAATAAAGATATCGTTATAATATATTTACGTGGTAAATCATAAACATTGAAACAAAATTTTTTTTCTTTCAGAATCATACTTACGATTAGATTCGATTACATTCGCTGTATCAAGACTAACGAAAAATAGAATTTTTTTTAAGTCGTTAATTTTCAAGTGCGTTTCTTGGCTTAATATTTTTCAAAAAATTTATTTAAGCAAAAAAAAAATGGCTTTTTAATATAAAACAATAATGCAATTTACTGAATTTTATAAAGGCACTGATAAAAAAAACAATATTACCAGGGTTAAGCTCTTATAAGACCTGATAGGTAACTAATAAAAATACTCCGAGTATAGACAGTATTTTGCTTTATTTCTGTTACATATGTGCAGAATGCAAAATGTTTTCGACCAAATAAAGTTTGAATCATTAAAATTGTGCTGAAGAAATGCTATTTACAATTTGCCCAATTTTGTGATAGTTTTTATAAGAGTCAAAAGTCATGGAAATCAAACTTAATAGTGATACTGTGTAAACATTTTCAAGAATGAAATAAGTTCCACAGCTTTCGTGAAAACGAAATTAGTAGCCGAAGTTTTAAGTAAACGCAAGTCAATACACATAATCTCTCTTTCCTCCCTTAGTGATGTCATTTTCGAAACTTCATCGCTCATAAACACACATATCATGAATTTTCTTACCGTAGATAGTTTAAACCCCGCAAAATGCTTGTAGGCTCGGAATCCTATTAAAGCCATGATTTCGGAGTTCCTTTAGTGGGTTATGAAATATCTTAGTTACTTTTTACTTGTTTCAAAATCCACGTACAACAATTTCACTAGCAATATTTTTTGAAGAAAATCGTTAAAGCGTTGCAAGTTGTTGGAGGGGATTATATTCCTTGAGGCGAACTTCAACCTTTTGGAATCCACGCCAGTGATTCCTATGAAGTTTTCAGTATTAAGTTGTTGTTGTTGTTTCTAATGCCATTTGCCAATAAGCAAGCCTGTTTAATGAAACTAAGCGAATTTAAGGTGCTGTCTTTGTCCAAGAATACGACTTCCACCATACACACGTCACAGGCCTTATAGGGTGGATCCTATTTATATATCCATTCATTCATTTACAGATCGTAATTTTGACCTGAACCAGAGAACGATCAATCTCCAATTTAGTACCCCAGAGGTATAATTTGCTATGGGAGAATGGAGGACTTTGTGACTTGACAGATTTAACTTTCAGTCACTATTTACTACGAGGGGCATATTCGGCAGGCGGGGATCGAACTCAGGACCTCTTGGACATGGTCCAACGCACTACCATCCAAGCTATCCCATCCCTTTAGTATTAAGTAAATAAATGGGTGTATCAAGTTTTGACTATTTAAGCATGCGATTTGTTAGCATATTTATCTTAAACATTCATTAAACCATTGAAACTGAAACAGCATTTTGTTAACTAATGTATGGAAACCAATTGTCATTTAAACTATAAATTTAAAAGAAAATACTGTTTAAGTTCTTAAGATCAATACAAAAAATATTAAGCCATTAAAAATTAATAAAGATTAACGCATTAAAACTAGTTTATTAGATTAATATGAGTTTTTAAGATAGATTCATTGAAAAGAAGCAAAGTTTAATGCAATTTGTATTCGACAGAGAAATTAATAATTGAATGAAAGATAAAGATAGCAGAATAAATTAATATGCTTCTTACCTCTAGTTGCACCCCAACCAACTCCGAAACAGTTGCTCCTAATATTAAGTTTTGTATTCAGTTTTGGAAGACAAGCTGGCTGCACGTACTTAGTAAATTTAACTGGAGCATTCAATTTTATTAAAGCTATATCATGGGTAAGGTCAAACCGACCATCTTTTTGGAACTAAAAATAGAAAGAGAATAATTTTATGCTTTTTTATTGATCACAAAATTTTTTTTTCTGTATATTAACTGCTTTTTTCACATTGTCTATCATTTTTTCACTTTCGAAATAAAAACAGAAAAAAACTTTTTTATTGATGACAAAGAAACTTAAAACTGTATATTAACCTCCATTTCTGAATTGTCTATTTTTTTCCTCTTAGGAATTAAAAATAGAAACTTTTTTTTTATGCTCTCTTCAAAATGGCATTTTTACTGTATTTTTACTGTTTTTGCTGAATTGTCGATTTTTTCCCTCTTTTGACCAGAAAAACAAAAACAAAAACTTTATTATTGATAAAAAGGAAAATTTTTACTGTATATCAACTGTCTTTGCCGAATTGTCGATTTATTTTCTCTTAATTAAAAATAGAAACAAATTTCTTTTCCTAAAGATCGCAAAGAAACTTTATACTGTATATTAACTGCCGTTGCTGAAATGTCTAATTTTTTCCTCCTTCGAACTAAATATAGAAAAAAAATAATTTTATGCTTTCTTCAAAAAGAAACTTTTGCTGTATATTAAGTGCCTTTGGCAGATTTTCTATTTTTTTTCCTCTTTCGAACTAAAGATAGAAAAAAAATAATTTTATGCTTTCTTCAAAAAGAAACTTTTGCTGTATATTAACTGCCTTTGGCAGATTTTCTATTTTTTTCCCACTATTTCGAACTAAAGATAGAAAAGAAAAACATTTTTATGTATTCTTATCAATAACAAAGGATATTTTTATTGTATATTAGGTTATTCAAAGAGTTGTGCAACACTTACAAAAATTTCTACTTTTACAAGTTTTTATTTTGTGTTGTTGTTTTTTGGTGTACTTAGTTTGCACTATGACACACAGACATACAGACACAGACACACACACACACACATTATATATATATACACGGTGGTCCTAAAATATATGTCGAAAATGTAAAGGCAGGTAGAGGGGATATAAATAAGCATATTTCGGACAGGAATGTGTGTACGGTAATGGCAATTTAAAGTATTGTCTTGTAAAGCACTATGAATCAAAGGAAACTGAAAAGACAAGTAAAGACGAAAATAAATTCGATTCCCTACCGGCTCAAGGCGGCATTACCGCACACACTATCCTATACGAAATATGCTTATTTAGGTCCCCTTTACCTACCTTTACATTTTTGACATACATATTAGGATATATAAGCTATAGGGGAGAGTCGGGTAGCCCCGCTCACTTAAGGATTATTGCTTATATTTCTGTATAATACTGAGTAATAATCAGCATTTTTGTATGTTTCTATTGTTTTATCATCTAATTAAATAATGCGAAAGGAATAAACCAAAAAAAGAATAGTTA